AAATAGTTAGAATGTGCGATAGGTTCACAACGACGTACTTTCGCCCGCTGTGTTTACAAACATTACCGTTTCTGCGAAAGCGCCGTCCGTTCATTCAAGCGCGTTTGTCATTGACCGGCGGACGACTATTGACACTGTAGTATTCCCACGTGGGTGCCAGCACTACAGTGTAAATAGCATGCGTCGCGCTGTGTTGTCTTAAGGAGCACTATAGTTTGTCATCTCATCAAGGCATCTTGCAACCCCACCGGCGGTCTTGATATGAACACCGCCGTGAATGCGAAGGAGGTAAGCGCCAAGGCTGGTGAGATGGATGCAAGTGACTGGCTGAAGGATCCGTGCGTCGGATGTGGTTTGTATACAAACACGCGCATCTCAGCCCACGCTGTTTGATACTTCGGGTCGGGTGTCGGCTGTAATTGTGTGAATGTCGTGGTGCGTTAATAATGTGTAGGAAATAACAGAGTGTGACTATCATGCGTACCTATGGTGGTTTCGACTCGTTAATAGTTGGACCTTGGACGCGCTCATGTACAAATTAACAAGTTAATGCTGTTAAGACATAGGCACGAGACTGTCTACTAATGTCGTAGGCGTTACGATCATTACTGTGACTATCTCGACTTGTCAAAGGGAGGGTCAAGTTTTTGCATCTTGAGGTCTTCCTTCGCATCCCAATTATTTTTCCAATTAAACAGATAACTGTACAGAGGCAAAGCTGTCTGATTTGGATTTGATACAGTGTTAGTGATGTGCCCTTCAAATTCCTTGAGACGATACAGGTCACACTGCATGCCTAGTCCGCTAGGCTCCCACACCGATTCAGCCTTTCATGTCGAAGTCAAACTAAACGTGTCAGTTCCTACAGGAGACTGACCCATCCCCATAGACCCACAGCACCCTCATCGGAACCCACAACACCCAGGTAGGCAATCTCCGAGGTCTTGCGAGAGGGAATGCTGTAAGCAATATATAAGCATTCCCGTGGTTACCCACGACTGAAGATTCTTTATAGTCCTGCAATCTCGTGGTGTCCTGGAAAAGGGGACAGAACCAGGTCGGGTCACTTCAAATCTTCTTGGTCCAATAAAGAAAATCGGTAATCTGTGTTCTCTACCGACACTGTAATGAATACTGTACTTCCCGTTACATTTAATGCTTGTTCAAGGCCACTGTATGCCTTTTCTCGAGCCAAATTAGTCAGCCGACTTGCTGCCCAGATGTCGGCACACACAGACTAAATTCCAATCGGTTCAGGCGACGAGGAGGAAACTTACCAGTGAATTTAATAAATCATAATGCCGCTCCGGGTAGATGGAGCGTGAATTTTGAGACGCTGTTTCACTGAAACTCTGATCGACTGCAGTCAGCCGTGGGCGTGGTTAGGGAACTGTAGGGATGAAGCCAACAAAACGTCTTTACCCTGTCCCGTTCCGACATATATTTTCCCTCTTTCAGTATCTCCAGAAATGTGTAACACCTCCCTTTCACCTGGCAATCTTGTTCACGTGATGTATACACTTGCGCATTCAATTCAATTGACAATTTTGTACGCGTATAGTAAACAAAGTCTGAATATAAAGGTAGACGAACTCCGATGAATGTGAACAAAATGTGGATAAGCATAGCATCGAGACTGGCGGAAAAGAAATCCCAATGGTACATTCTGTCATTGGAGGTTATCATTGCCTCATCAGTCGCAGAGCACTCCACCGAAATTCTCCGCACTTCTAAATGTATACATTCAGTGTGTTGTATGTTGCTTTTTATTGAGTGTTGGGTAGAACCACTGGCATTTCGGTTGGACGTGTTGGTAGCGGGTCATCGACAAAGGGCTATGGGGGACGTGATAGGGGACTAAGGGTATATTATAGAGTTGGACTATAGTTACATAGATCGCTTCCCGCTCAGAGTTTGGGCATTCATAAATCGTAGTGATTGCCAGGTTGCCACATTCAAAGAAGTGTGGATTTGGATGGGTTTTTTGGGGGGGTATGTTTGTTCGTTTTCATACAAACGCAAGTTGCCCCATTGAATCTTGAATTATTGTGTGAGGATGTTTGGTTCAGTTATGAATGGAAATACTTATTTTTCGCACTTGAAAACACTTGTTTTGTCGGTATTTCCACTCGGAACATGTCCGTTCGATCACATGCAGCTTATTGATACCACTATCCATGGTTTCTGTAAAAAAAACGCTCAGTGTTGCTATCAACAAAATAGATTTTGTATACATGCACAGTGTTTTAGGCCAAGCCTTTTTTCGTTGGTTAGTTATTTTACAAAGAGTAATTTTTAAGAGGTGTTAAGTTGCACATGACTGAGAAGACTTTCTGATGTCATTCAGCCGTTTGGCCAAATTCCGAACTAACGTGGTCTCTTACTAGCACACTCTTTCAGAATATACACCTAGCTAAGACGTGAGACACTGCGTTGATTCTCTCTTGAAAGGCCAATTGCTCCAGAGCCATGGGACATGACCCATCGCTCCTGAATAGCATCCAGCGTCCCGCGGTTAATCCCCAATTACTTATTGTTCCTGTTTCGGTAAAACCCGATTAGCGCCCCCATCCACGCTGTGTATAGTCAGTAACATGATATAGGCCTATTACGGCCCGAAGATCAAGAACATGTATTCATGGGGGCAGCAATTTTTGACTGTACCCAGGCCTTCGTCGACGAGTCTGTAGTGGAGAGCGGATCATATGCAGGGCAGCCTAATAGATTGATGTATCATGGAGTTATGTTTGGAGACTGGCTGGTTGTTTCCTCCTTGACTTTCTTATCTTTGATGAGCGGTCGGCCATTGCGGCCGGGGTGCCAGGTGAGGACTCACAAGCCTCCCAACTTCCTCCAATGTCGCCTCTCATCTCTTATCTCGAGCTCAGATCGATGATGGCACACCATGGTACATGTGCTTGAGAGAGGCCTGTCCTATCTAACTGTTGAATGCTACTTCTCTCAATACATGTACTTGGATGCTCGCTCCAAGCAAACTTGGAACATGCATGATTTGAACTTTACGGGAATTCACGCGTGTGTCACTGTACTGGCTGGCCAACGCACTTTCCGTATCCATGGGCTGAGAACCTAGACAGCTAAATTTAAGTTAAATGCTGGAAGTAAAATGCACGTGTCGTAATTGCACCATACACGCTCTATACCCCATGGCTCGGTCAATGGGAAACTGGTACAGCTGAACTTGAACTTTACCGGGTTATAAGAGAGGAACTCTCAAATGAAAGGCTCCCCTTGACGTGCCACAGTTGAGTCATTTCGGTATTAAAATGTTAGCATGTGCTCATGGATGTTAACGGCTCAAGTCCTGTATTGGCCAAACTGGCTGTACATTTTGGCTTAGTGGTGAGTTATGGGAAGGTATGGGTGTCAATACCTGTCATGAAGTGCTTGATAGCTGTGTTGACTGGTCTTGTTTCCTGCGAACGGGACCTTTGGCTCCCAAGATGATCAATTTAAGGTAACATGATCAGAAGGTATAGACCCAACGTTTTCCAAATCAGTACACCAATCTGATCATAATCTCGCAAGATGTTTTGTGCTTTTTTTAGAAGAGCAGAAAAAAAAGAATGATCAATGTTGTGAGAGCTTCCCTTTGAAGGGCCGAAATTGGTTCGGCGATTTGCCACACTCAGACATAAAGTCGATGGATGGGTCTTCAAACTAAAGTGACATCCGTCACGTACATTGCATGTAGGTCACCTGTGATCCACTTTCCCATAAGATACCCCAACAAATGTGCACATTAATTGTGTTTTCAGAATTTCTTCTCTTTGGTTTATTTGCAGGATTTTGGTTTTGTCATGTATTACCCATTTTTTAAAAAATTGTTCTGCATCTGCAATGCTTCAAACTCAATGATGAGGCTTTAAAAGGGAGGAAATAGTTTCGGGAGTGTGGAGGGTGGTTGGACGGGATGGGGTAGTTTCGCAGTATTGCGCCCCCCCCCCCGACACACAGCGATACTGTGACAGACAAAAACGATTGGGATATGGCATGTATAATAAGAGTCCATGGCCAGACCAAAATAAATTTACGGATAACCGGATCGACAACCTTGAACCCACGTGTCCCAGTGTGTAAACCATTTGATGTCATGTAAATCTTGTTTAATGTTCCCCAGTCTCAGTAGGGCCTACTGTGTGTGTGGACTGTCCCGTCAAGTACCTGTACCAGCGGGTGTTGACATGATGTTGCGTCCCGAACCAAGGTTGCTGTGCGTTTATTTTAGATGTTCGCGGCCTACTGACCCTGTCAACAATTTAAGGCTCTTTCAAATCAATTTTTAAACCAGTTACGGACGGGACCACCCAGATTTCTCTGCCCCACTGTAATAAAAATGAGACTTCATTCTCTCTCTGTCCAAAGGTTTGATAAGGATAATGACTTACAGTAAGTGAGGCTTACAATGTCAGAATTCCTTGCCTAGGCCTGTGGATGAAAATTACACGTGCACCTGATGCAAGCCGTACCACTGGCTGTCGCTCTTTCCCGTAGTCTTGCAGGCTACACTGCCGTACTGAGACGAGATTCGTACGTGGCTCTATCAGCTTGCAGCAGACCTGTTGTGTAGAAGCACATGGTTGTATTACTTCTCACTTCTAAGGACTGATATTAAAAGAATGGATGACAATGATGGGCTTATAATGTTCACCCTTTCAATTCCATTCTTAGTGGTCCATTAGGTACCGTACGGGAGTTTTTTCCCGGTAGCACAGAATATTGGTTTTGGTGGATTAACTTCTGAAGGCTTTCCGCATTCTTGGTACAATGGGAGCAAAGCTCTTGCATTTTTTTGTTAGAGTTCGAACACGTGAACAATTTGGCACTAAGAATAATTTTAAACATAGTGTAAACCCCATTGGATACAGACAATTGATAAAAACCTGTCCAGGTTGACGAAAATAATAATAATAATAGTAATAAAAAACTGAAGCATTTTGTGTCCGCTAAACGTTCATTATTTGCTTCTTTTCACGTAGAATGCTCCCCTAGCGGGCACCGGGTTTTGGGCAACCCGTTTCGCAGCGTCTCCTACTCGGCCACGGCGATGTCTGGCAAACTCTGCGACAAGACGCTAGACCGCGGATGGTACCGCTTTCAGATTTTCGGCAAATACGCCGAGATGCCCACGGAATGTGTCCAGGTGAGTGTCGGCATGACTTCCTGTATAGATCAAGAAAAAGCCGATCTAATCAATAATTGTCCTGAGCGATACGTATCTGAATGCTTCCCCAAGAAGGCATAGGCTATTGAGGATTGCATGGACTGTAGTGACACATACACGCGTCTATAGGAATGTTGCAGCTAGTAGGACGACAGTTTTTCTGGCCGCAATCACAACATTCGGAGGAATGTCGCCTGTCGCTGTTGAATCATAGAGATCATAGCATAGAAATCACAGCAACTTATACAGATCGAGGTTTCAATTTCACGCGCGTCTTATGGGTGATGCCGATTGTTTACCCATTATGACCAGACAAGATTCTGTAATAATTATAATTTGGGTTATTTGTTTGTATGCTAACAAAACCGGGTTTACTCTTGTGCAAATCGTGCTAAATTGAAATAAAGCTTGAACTGAATTGATGCTTTGTCATGAGAATATGGTTTCTCCTCCAGAACTGAAAACACCTCAGTAACAAAATGAGTCGTGCCCTTCAAGCCAACAGAGTAATGAATATGGGGGGGGGGCGCCATTTTCTTAGCAACAGCGGCTCCTGTGATCGGAACTGAACTGCGCTGGTTCACGAACGACTATGAGAAATGCGAGCGCCACGGTCTTTTCAACCAATCAGAGGGTGCTTCCGCTCGAGGAGGTCTTGAAATATTTTGGTCTCATTTTGCAACCTGTTTGTCTATTGAAAAAGATTACAGGAAACTACACAGGATTACGAGAAAATGTGGAAAAGGAGAATATGAAAAGCGCAATGAAAGGAAACAGTACAGTAATGAAATGCCCAGGGATCGAATATTCGCGGGTCGTGTTTCATGGATCGTTATAGGTGTGATAAAACAAAATGAATCAGTTCCGTCTGTGGACTGTTTATCCCACGGCCCTGCGCAGCTCATCTTGCTCATGTCGAAGTGTAAATAATTCCTTTCTCGCTGACAGAAATATGACTGGATTTTCATTAGCAGCATGCCGTCTGGTATTGATCACATTTATCACGCCGGAAAGACCCCTTGATGTAGTTTCACGGCTGCTGTCTCTCTCGCCGTTGACGAGAAATCACGTGCCTGTTGAAACTTGCACTTTACTTTGCAGTGGCGCTATTGTGATTGGTTTGGAAATGCAAAAAAACCTCACATTTCAGAATAAGTCTGTCATCACTGTCGTGCGTGAACTCATTTCCAGTCGGAACTTGGTGTAGCATCGTCTTGGCCGGTAGGTCGATGCAAGGAATGATATTAAAAAAGCTTGGATCTTTTCAAAAAAGTCACACAATTATCGTGAGTACTGATACACTGTTCGTGTATTTGATGTACGGTAAACATTAACATTCCTAACGTCCAGCCAGAAAGTGTACAACTCGATATTCGATCGCTAGAAAAATGGTCAGTGTTGCCATGTCCGTATCTTGGAATGTCTGCTTGTGCTCAACTAATGCGGACAGATTTCAATAGTGTTGCACTTTACATTCGGTGATAGGGTTGACTCTTTTGTTGGAGAAATCAAAGAGAAAATAGGAAAATCACTGAAACGAGCAGCCGCAAACCAGACTAGTGCCTCTATCAGAGACACTTTCAAAGTTGTCATTGACTTTGAGGCCCGTGAAAATGAATGGAATATTAAAATTTGGTTTTGGCTTCGTAACACGAGCCAGCCTTTTTTGCCAAATCATAGCCCCCCGTGCAATGGAAGTTGCATGCAGTGGATGCGTGTGTCAACGGCCAAATCGCCCGTGGGCGGTGCTGTAACTTAGCAGCCATAATGCGATCCTCGGAGTGTTGTCCCATGCACCTTTCGCTAGATCACGTACGTGACCGGCTTATGGTGAGGCACTTGCCGGGCCTTTTGACGGTGTCAAAAGTTGACGTTTCTCGTCGCCAAGCAAAACAAACTGAGACCGAAATATTTGACATATTATCCGTCGCCGGTTATTACTCCATGCAAGGTGCGCTTCACCGAGACGCCGTTGTCAGGGGAATTATTGTTTTGTAACAAACCACTTGATACGCCTTGGTCCCGAAAGCTGGTTTGTTAACTTCCGGCTGGTTTAGGCGGTTTCCACTAATAGGGAACAAGAGAAAAGAACAAATCCCCTTATCCAACTGATTCTTGCAACATAGATCAGTGAACTTCTAGGAAATGTTACCCGCACTTACCACCCACTAAAACATGGTGCGGTGACACGCCCCCCTGTAGTTTGTCTCGTTAATCTGTACAGTTCCACTCCTCTCCTGTCGGACATTTTTGCGGCACTGCTCCGCAAAGTCCTTGTCCCTAGCATGATGAATCTGTATCAAGCACCGATGATTCAGCGCTGACAGATCCAGTATCTCGCCATCGGGCTAATAGGAAACGTGCGAGTAAATTAAACCCAGTTTATTGTTGTATGTCGACTAGCCAATTTAATACACAAATCGTTTTCTTGTGCTTTATCCGAGTGAATGCGATACCTAGGGGATGTTTACGTCCTCTGTCACTGCCAAATCCAAAGCATTTTGACATAGGCCGATAAACAGAGGGTTCTACAGATGTGTAAAAACTTTCGAACGTAAAATACATGTACAAAACTTCACGTTTGACCATAAAGCCAAATTTCCCACTATCAAGAAACGGCACCGTCGCTGGGCCAGGTTGACCATTCTTACTGTTCTAAGCAACAAATTGTTCCCTGTCACAGAATTTATTCAGTTCATTTAGTCTTACTTCATGGCGTCGATTTGCAACTTTGCTGATTTTCGTGGATTTTACCCAAAACCTTGCGAGCAGAGGAAAAAGAGGGCGGGGCAGCTGTTAAAATGAAGAAGGTTCTAGCATTAGATAACGAATAAGGGGTCAACACTGTGACTAGCATGTTATAATTGTTTATGATGAGGAAAACAAAATTCAAAGACAGGAGCAAATCTAAAATGTGTACAGACGAGAGAGGGCGCTCTTAACCCATGCAAAGTGGCATTCTTAAAGAGTTTCTCTTGTTTACTTTTTAATAACCAGGTGAGCCAGTGTGGTACGGATGCGCCCATGTGGTTAGACATGGGAGGCAGGAACCATCCACCACCAGGAGAAAGCGCCAGGCACGTAGCGTGCGCCGCATGGGGTCTGGGTACCCAACGCTCCCAACAGGACTGCTGTCTGTATTCGTTCCCCATCACCGTCACCAACTGTGTGGACTTCTTTGTTTATAACCTACTGCCGGCACGAGGTTGCAATATGGCCTATTGTGCAATGGGTATGGGATTTTGTTTTTAATAACAGACATTTTCTGTTTGGCATGCTCCTCTTGGATCATTTCATACCGATTGTGTAGGCCTTGAACCAGTTATTGATTGTCAAAGCTGCATTGAGAGGATGTACGTCGTTTCTCTCATGCCATTAGACAGAAGTCAAGATTGACAATGTCGGTAAAATCACCACCTGAGGGACCCTTGGCGGGTGGTAGGCTGCATTTTCACATAAAGAACACCAAACTGTATAGACGGTTTATCAGCAAATAATTGTGAGGGAGTCATTTACACCTCCACCATTGTAAAACCGTGCGCCTTGAAATCCCAAAGAAAGGGAGAAAAACTTGGCTATCAGACCTCTCACGCTTACATTTCTGAGGCTCCCAACCCACTAGATATAGCATTCCGCCTATCCCATGTCCTGTTTTTGGCAACAGATATGACAGATTTTTACGTTCCTCCGGGGAGTGGTCCATGGATCAGTTTCAAGGACCGTGACCACGTTAAATGTGTCATTGGCCTATACAATTTCAGGACGTTGGCAATACTGGAAACAGAGTTCCTATCATCGTGTAGAGGTATACACAGAGAAAATGAGTACATGTACTATGCTTTTCTTCGAGTGAGTTAGATATCAAAGGTTCAAACGAGCATATAAACTGGACAGCAAAGGAAGCTTGCCACTTCTGTCAAAGGCCACACATAAAAATTTACTCCATAGAAATAAACATTTTTTGTACACAGGTATGCTGCAATACCCCTTACTAATCACATGCCCAAAAGCAAGTGATTATCTTTATAACAAAGAAGAAATTGACATGCACAGCAACTTGGTTACTGAATAAAAAGTCACAAAATGTAACAGAATGAGCTGTAAGTTTTACGCAGAAATTAATGCCACAGGACGAAATAAAGAAGTCACAATCATTACTTTTCAATTATGTGTATGCATAGTCAGTAAGGATGGCATCTC